AAAACTATCTTTGATTTTTTCAAAATCAAATGGTTCTGTATTAGCATCTTCTTGATTATATGAAATACTTTCGAGAAGTTGTTGGTCTAGCTCAATTTCAAGTGCAAAATTTACATTTTCATTACTACTCTCCGCTTCATAAAATTTTTTGGCTATAATTTCTTGAACTTCGTCTAGACTATATAGAGGACTATCATCATTACCATAGTCTTTGCTACCAAAGTTTTCATCTTTATTGTCTTTAAGAGTGTTTTCTTGTTCTGGAAATAGCTCTATTTCTTCGATACTACTATTGATTTGGGAAGTAGAAGTACTGCTACTACTACTTGGCGTTATATCAGTGCTGGCTTTCATTTTTGCCTTTTTTTTTGAAATCGAATTCGTTTCTTTTCTTTTATTCTTACGTCTTTCATAACACCGATTACAGGTAGCATTTTCATTTGGGTCATCAGATCTATAAAAATCCTCCTTCTTCTTATTGACACCGCAACAAGAGCATCGCTTTTTATCAGAGAATTGTTGAGAAGTGCTAATGGTAATATTAGATTCATTTTCATTCTCACTCATTCTTAAAGATTTTTTAGTTAAAATAGTTTTTTTAAAACGTAATAAATATAATTTATAAGTATTTTATATATTTAAACAGGGCAACACGTATAGATCGTTCTCCAAGAAGCGTTTAGAATAATTTGGGTAATTATTTATATATTTTCTTGCTTTTTTTTTAGATTTGTATCTAACACTAACATTTATTATTATGTGTATATAAATTTTATTTCTCTAGATGGAATTTTTGACACGACTTTCTTGGAAATAAGTTTTGATTAATTGCTTTTTTGCTACTTTTATACATTTTTATTATATTTTTTTCATACTAACTATTCTACTTTAAGGCTTCTACTCTTGCCATTTTTCTCACTACTGATTATTCTTAGATTTTAATATGTAGGTTTCACTTTTTTTTTATACCTGTTTTTAGATTTACCACGCTTACCAACCTAACAATACTTTTTCTTAATTTTTCCTTAACACGTAGCTCTCTAATTTGTTATGTTTAATTTGTTCATTATCTTGTCATTCTGAAACCTGGGCGCCTTGCCGTATACTATTCTTTATTTGGTCATATGTGTTGATTCTTCGATTATTTGTTAGTTGAGAAACGATTATGTATGTTTTATTCGATTTCAGTTTAATTATAATCACATGCATTATTTGTTAGTTGAGAAACGATTATTTATGTTTCATTCAATTTCAGTTTAATTATGATCACATGCATTAATCAGATACTGAGTAAGGGTCTGCAACCTGGGCTCGTGTCTGTACCCAACAAAAAATCTAGGCATGGACATTGGCATGAAAACTCAGGCATGGGCATGAGCATGAACACAAAAAACTTAGCATGAGCATAGGCACAGGCACAGAAATTAGATATTTATTATTTAATTGTGCCCGGCACCTTGTGCCTAGCATTTTGTGCCTATGCTTTTAATAGTGCTTAGCACTTTTGTGCTTATAGGCACAGGCACGGTATAAGGCACTAGTGCCCAGTCTGGTGCCGATGTGCTGGGCATGGGCATTTGCAGACCCCTAATACTGAGCACAATTATCAATCGTTCTGTATTGGGTTACAGTTAGGGATATAAACTTAATTAAATTTCATTGCTAAAATAATTTTATTTTTCGAAAATGTTGTTTGACAATTAAAAAAATAATTACAATAAAAACATAATTAAATTTAGAAAATTTGTTACAGTAATTCAATAATAAATTTATTCTTATTATAATGAAATCTTTTTAAACTTGTTTTATCAATATAATATAATTAATGAATTGACTTTTACAAATTTATTGTTATGATAAAAAAGTTCATCGAATTTTGTCAAATAACTATTGAGATATCTTCGCTCAAAGTTAGAGAAAAATTAAAAATAGAAGCTGCACCAAAATTTTTTTTAAAACTAAAGATATCTCGACAGCCACCTGACCAAATTCGATGAACTTTTTTTATTTAAATTCTATGAATTCATAGAATTCAAATAAAAAAAGGTTCATTAAATTTGATCAGGTGGCTGCCGAGATATACTTCATTCAAAATTTTAAAAAAACTTTGGCGCAGCTTCTATTTTGATAGACGTTTTAATTTTTTTCTAAAATTGAGTGAAGATATCTTGACAGCCACCTGACCAAATTCGATAAACTTTTTTTTTATTTGAATTCTATGGATTCATAGTATTCAAATAAAAAAAAAGTTCATCGAATTTGGTAAGGTAGCTGTTGAAATATCTTTTCTCAAAGTTAGAGAAAAATTAAAATGTCTCGAAATAGAAGCTGCGCCAAAATTTTTTTAAAACTTTGAACGAAGATATCTCAACAGCACCTGATCAAATTCGATGAATCTTTTTTATTTGAATTCTATGAATTCATAGAATTCAAATAAAAAAATGCCCATCAGATTTGGTCAGGTAGCTGTCGAGATATCTTCGTTCAAAGTTTTAAAAAAATTTTGGCGCAGCTTCTATTTCGAGATATTTTAATTTTTCTCTAACTTTGAGTGAAAATACCTTGACAGCTACCTGACCAAATTCAATAAACCTTTTTTTATTTGAATTTTATAGATTCATAGTATTCAAATAAAAAAATTTCATCAAATTTGGTCAGGTCGCTGTCAAGATATCTTCGCTCAAAGTTAGAGAAAAATTTTGGTGCTATTTTGATTAATTTTTGAAGATATCTCTAATTTTTCTCTAATTTTGAGTGAAGATATATCAACAGCCACCTGACCAAATTTGATGAACGTTTTTTTATTTAAATTATATTAATCCATAGAATTCAAATAAAAAAAAGTTTATCGAATTTGGTCAGGTGGTTGTCGAGATATCTTTGCTCAAAGTTTTTATTTTAATGGGGGTATGAATAATAATGATCTATGATGTATATGAATATGATTGGTCAAAAATGATCTA